TTAGGCCTAACTCTCACCTCTTCCAGCTAAGTACCTGAGTACACCACTGGTATAAAGCTACCTAGATATTGGGTAACTCTGTAGACCCATCCCTCACACGGCCAGGAAGGGAGTTAATGAGAACATGACCTGTGTTGGGCAGCCACCCCAAACTGAGCATCCTCCGAGTTCCTGTAACTGCAGCAGAGGCATGGCCTCCCTCCACGCACCCTCAGCTGCACCCGGCATCCCTTACACTAGAACTTTCCTCTATAGGAATGCAGCAATGACGCTTTATCTATACATATAAGGACCCCTGCTGAGGTTTTCAAGGAAAACGCTCATCTGATGTACAATAATAGAAATAGGGCTGGTGAGACGCTCTGTGGGGGGATTGTACTTGTTACCCAGCCTGATGACCCGAGTTCAATCTCTAGGACGCATAGAGTAGCATTAGAGAACTAATTTCCCCAAGTTGTTCTCAACCTGCATACACATGAGTAGTACACACACCCATGCACACACACGTGTGCACGTACACGCACACATACACACGCACGCATACACGCACACACACGCACACATACACACACATGCACACACGTAATGAGAAAATAGAAAGAAGAGATAATAATGCTTAAGATTTTGAAGCTCCAAAAATTTTCTTTTTATGACCTTTGGCAGACTGCTTATCCCTCTGAACCTTCATTTCCTTATCTGTGAGAAGAGATAACATGTGCCAGACACATGGAGGTTATTGTGAGGGACGAACAGATACTGAGTGCCTGGCATCGCGCGTGTACTGAATAATGGCTGTCAATGGGAGTTTTGATATCATCAGCAAGTCGCTTTTTCTGTTCCCACACCCTTCTAGGTTTAGGGGGAGTTTACATCCACAGTGCACCTGCCACCACGAGGGCCCTTGACCAGCACACCTGAAGGCAATAGCCTGACAGTTAGGACCAGGATAAAGTGTGGCTCAGTATTAGATCTCTTAGGGCCACCACTGGCAACAACCAGAAAAACTGAAAAGCAACAACTGTCCAGGTGGTTGAAATTAATCCTAGCTTAACAATTTGCCAAGCTAGGCTCCCAGCAGTCTTTTAGGTAAATGCCCATTGCTTACGGTTTTTGGTTGTTTTTTTTGTTTTGTTTTCTTGAGATAAAATTTTGATGCATAGCTAGACTGCCCTTGAACTCATGACCCTATTTCCTTAACCTCTGTCAAGTGCTATCATGTCTGGTTTAGACAAATGCTTTTGGGCTGGGGGATCAGGGATCAAACCTGCGGCCTTGCGCACAATAGACCTGCAAGTGTTTCCTCCCAGCTATCTTCCTGAGTCAACTCATTTCAAGTCACCCGAGTGACTGTTTCTTACTAGACACTCTGCTGCACCGAGGATTCAGAGATGAACAGGACTTCTCTCCTCTCCTGCCCTCTGGTCCTCACTTAGCTGTACCTAGCCCCAAACTCTCCACAGTCCTTCCTCTGCTTCCCAAGGGACGGGATCACAGACTAAGCCACTACTTGAAATCTCTGTCTCCCTCCCTGAAGTCCTTCCTCCCAACCCACTCCTGAGTCAGGAAAACATTCCAAGCAGACCGTTTTCAGCCAAGCAGCAAGAAAACAACTGTGTCAAAATTCCTTTATTTACAAAATCTCCAAGAATCGCCTTCACTACCCCTCCCCCACGTCCTCCAAGAGGCCTTCTCTCCTCTTCCACTGCCCCACTTCACCTGCTTTTACCCCAGATGCCGCATAACTACACCACTGTTAATTGTCGGTGCTCCCCTCTTAAAGGACAAGGATCGCATCACCCCGAGTTGACCATAAACAACTTTAGAGCATGGCTGTCTATTGGTCCATCTTACATCCCATCGTAACTGTGACTTCTAGTCATCTATAGTGACTGTGGATAAAGTTTTATGAGCTTATATGAAACATATTTTAACTTATTCCTTTAGAAACCAGCAGGACATGAAACAGATCCAAGGCGCATGCTGATCTCCCACATAGAATCTGATTCACTTAGGAAATTACTTGGTTCTTTTCTTTCTGGTTTTTTGAGACAGGGTTTCTCTGTGTAACAGTCCTGGCTATCCTGGAACTCACTCTGTAGACCAGGCTGGCCTCGAACTCACAGAGATCTGCCTGCCTCTGCCTCCTGAGTGCTGGGGTTAAAGTTGTGTGCCTCCACCACCTGGTTATTACTCACTTCTCTTTTAAAGAGATTTATTTGGGGACTGGAGAGATGATGGCTCAGAGTTTCAGAGCATTGGTTGCTCTTCCAGAGGACCTGGGTTCAATTCTCAACACTACATGGTGACTCACAACTATCAGTAACTCCAATACCCTCTTATGGCCTCCATAGACACCACAGATGTGTGAAATATACATGCAAGCAAAGCACCTATACACACAAAATAATAAATTAAAATGATTTATTTCTATTTCATGTGGTTGGCTGCAGGCATGAAGCCATATGCACTGCATGCATGCCCGGTGCCCTTGGGTGCTAGAAGAGGATGTTGGATCCCGTGGAACCGGGATTGCAGGGGCTGTGAGATGCCCAGTGTGGTACAGGGAACGAAACCCAAGTCCTCTGCAAGAGCAGTGTGTATTCTAAAACAAACAACAAACCTGTTTTAGGTTTATTGGTTTTGTGTGCATACGTTTTGCCAGCTTTTATGACGCCCATGGGGGTCAGAAAGGGGTGTCAGGTGTCCTGTACCTGGAGTTACAGATGGTTGTGAGCCACCACGTGGTTGCTGAGAACTGAACCTGGGTCCTCTTGGAAGAGCAACAAGTGCTCTTAGCCACGGAGCCATCTCCCCAGTTTTTCCTGTGTCTTTTCAAATCACTTCAATTATCTTTCTTCCACCCGTGGTAATTCTGAGCACCGGATTACAGGGAACGGAAAATACAATCTCTTATGTTTGCACTTGGCCTTGAAAACAACTGAATTGTTATCGTCCACTTGGAAACCCATCCAGAAGAGGACAAAACCCACCTTCTCTTCACTTGGGGGAACAGAGAAAAGATTTTGTCCCATGTCATCCTTAAGAAGAAAACTCTTTCTCAGCTTATCTTGAGTGAAGGCAAAATGATTCTAACACTCTAGAAAGACATCCTGACTTCCCTAAAATCACCTGGAGTATTTGGGCCAGATTTGTCAATCTTCTTGTCATCGGGAGGAGCCCTTTCCTCTCTCACTACAGAGTCACACATTGGGCTGTGGATAGAGCAGTAACATCCACCCTGAAACGGTACTTATTATACCCGAACATGCTCATTAGAAAAAAATACTAAAAAAAATTTAGAAAAAAATTAAAACACATACACACCCCAAACCTTATTATATAGGAAAATATTCTCCATCTATGAAAACCTCTATATATTGGGGGATGAGTAAGCAAAGCAGAATCTGGAAGAAAAAGGTTGTGAGTGTGTGTGAACATCTCTGTATGAATCAGACACTTCCCAAGGGGGGGGGGATGCTAATCCTATCAGTCAAATCGATGAAAGACGTAGCAGCCTCTGGCCTATTTATAGACCTTAAATTGGTATGCGCTATACAGATTGAGTACCAGGTTGAATTTATATTTTTTTAGGAGCAATTCAGATAAAGGAAAGTAAAAGAAACATAAACTATAACAAGAAAAACCGTGACTAATTGTTTACGGAACTGTTCCCTCACAACATTGTTTTTTATAACTGCCAGTTCTTAGAGTAATTAGGTAACAGTTCGTTTTGAAAAGGGGTTGGAGAGGACACGAACACGGTCCCTGAAGTCGGGGTGGAGAGGTGAAGAGGATTATCTAAATACTGCAGTGATTTTATTTGACTTCAAGGATGCTCTCCAGTGTCACTCTGGCTCTGAAGCCAAATGTCCCCGAGCGGTTCGTGGAACGCCGTGCCATGCGCCATCCAGAGAAACTAACTCACGGCAGCAAGACACTGTACACCTTCAGGACAAGTACACAGGAACTCCAGGAGACACAGCACCGGTACCTCTGAGGCTGAGAGGACCTCTCCCTGGGAAGAGGCCCTCGGCCAAAGACAGCAGCCTAAAGCCCCATCTTTGGAGGAAGAAGACCGTGACAAGCCACTGCCTAGTGTTCAACTTCTGGGCTTCCTTACAAAGACAAGAATGTCTGTGAAGCATGGAGTTGTCTCTGGAAGCCCGTGCCTTGCACAAGAGCTGTTGGGAAGAGAGACCTAGACCGGCACTCTCAGAACAGCCCAGGCTCTTCTCCTGAAGAGCTTCCATGCCGGAACACATGCTTCCCTCCTCAGTTCCTTCTCTAACCCACACTCTAGTTACTCCAATCCCTTCCGAGAACCTCACAGGGTCTTCTGTGGGCGTCAAAGCACAGGTGCCTCCCACTAGGCAACCAGAGAAACGGCAAACTCCACTTAGATAGAGAAGAACATAGTCCAACCAGCTGGTTCCCCTTCCATATTTTCCCCATCTATGAGACAGGAAGAACAGCCCTGCGGCATCTGCTGTACAAGGGCTACATCAGAGGGACCAGCCTACAGAGTTAGAGCAGTGTTATTACTGTTTTTGCTATTTGCACGACACGCTGACAACAGAATACTAAATATGCACCCAAAGCGGGTGCACAGCCCGCTGTGGGTGGCTGCTAAACGCTAGTTAAAAATCTAGTCTCAGCCTGAATTAGGATCTCCTGGATCGGAACTGCCTAGGGACAAGCCGGAAAGAATTTGTTACACTTTAAACGAATTCCCAGGCGATGCTTGGGACGCAGGGCCAGTCTGGTTCCTGAACTCTTTGTGTTCTGTTCTGAGGAAAGCACCGCTCTGCCTGGCTTGGCTGAGGCCATCCATGTATGACAGACATCACTCTCCCACAGCTCTTGACCAGTGACTTGGCCAGCGCAGGTGGGGGACAACACAGGTCTTAGATAAAGCAAAGCCATGGAGGGGTTAATGTCCCACGGAAGACCCCGGGAGAGGGGATGGGGTGGTGCTGTGGTCGTAGAGGACCTGGACTCACCTACAATGATACCACAGGCGCTGACCAATCCGATCTCTTTCTTCAGGGCCACGCCGCTGCTTCCCGAGTCAGCCTCGGCCTGAGGGCTGGTGTCTGAGCTGCTCCCACCCGGGGGGTTCTTCGCAGGGTTGTTTCGTTGTCGGGCCCCCTTTTCCATCTTTCTCCGTAGGGTTCGGATCTCCACCAGCTAAAAGGAGCTGTCTCTTTCTAACCGCTTCTTGTGCGTGTAAATGTATAGATACGTGGAAAAAGAGTTCCCAATTAAAACGCCCTTTTCAGAAACAGAGAGCGCGCCTACCCTCTAAAAGTGACAGCAAATGAGAGAGAGCAGCAAATATTCCCACTCTGTACTGACACGTGTCACTCCTGCTACCAGAAAGGGCCGTGTTTTTAAAAGGGAGGTGACCGGCACTCAGGAGGCAGAGGCGGGCGGATCTCTGAGTTCGAGGTCAGCCGCTACAGAGAAACCCTGTCTCCAAAAAAACAAAAAAATAAAAATAAAAATAAAAAAAATCCCCCAAACCAACCAACCAAACAAACAAACAAAAAAGGGGAGGCAAAGAGCATATCTATTTAAATACAAAAATAGAACTGTACCAGCGACTCCAGCTGGGATTCTCCGGAAAAGGTTTATCTTCAGAAGCCCAGGATGGCTCTGCTCGGTGTACCGGGCGGCGGCTTGCCCTGTTCGGGATTCTCTGAAGCCCTTCTAATAAACAGATCGCCTTCACCTTCCCTCAGTCTCTCTTTTACGATGAGGGTAAAAGTAGTTCTCGCTAGCCGAAGGGGTGGAGGAGGAGCCGTGCTCAGGTACTTTCTTCTCGCTCCTTGGCTCTGGATCGGATTTCCACCTGCTGTGGTTGGCCCTTCTCGCCCTTCTCCGGTCTGAGCTCGGTGCTCAAGCCTCAAACAGCCCCATCGCTGGTGCCGGCAGAGTGGCTGCTGCGTTTGCGAATGTCCTTCCTTCCCTTTCAGCGGCGGCCGGTGATTATTTGCGGCCGCGAGGCTCCGCCCCCACCTCCTCGCCATCCTCAGCCGCATCTCCTCCCCCCTTCTATTTAAATATTAGTCTCCCCCCCCCCCCCGCAAAGATCACGGAGAAAATGGTTTAAAACATTTCTATCTTTTTCCTCCTAGTGGAAGCGAGGGAAGGGTCGGCCGCAGGAAGAAGTCACTGGCCAAGGCTGCATCAGGTCGCACAGCATTTCTGAGCTCTGTAATGCCACGGTTTTGCAGGCTTTTGCTGCCTTCAGAAATAAACTGGCCCATGAGGTGTGGATCATTTGAGGACAAGGTCGAGAAGGCTGTAAGAATAGCATCATCAAGCTTTTTCCTGCAATTGGGGCAGGGGGTGGGGAGGGGCTTTGGTAGTGGTAGCATGGGAGGATTTAAGGCTGAAGAGTTTCTTTTAGGGACTATCATGAAAGGAAAATAATATCATCAAGAAGATGCAAGGTTCATCTGAAGCATGCTAAGGAGGACTCTGTTTTGCTCCCATAACTACTAATACTTAACTTACCTATACATTATTTGACCTTCAGATGGGAGAATTGCGAGCCCCTCGCTGATTATGGAGCAGGTTTACTGACAGTAAGAGATGAACATCCTTTCAGTACATTGTGCCTCCACTGCCCTGAAGAATTTAATTCAAAACTGTTGCTTTACCTCAAGAACAGTGTCTATTTCTAACTGTAAAGTACTTTGGAAAAACAACATGAAACAATATTACAGACAAGGCTGAAAAACTAAAGTTTTTTTTTTAACATACACACACACAATTATTTGCTTTTAAAATAAGTCTCAAAAATAAAATTCCAAAGGGCATTGTGGCACACACCTTTAATCCCAGCACTTGGGATGCAGAGGCAGGTGGATCTCTGTGAGCTCAGGGCCAGCCTGAGTCTACATATTGAGTTCTAGGCCAGCCAGAGCTACACAGTGAGATTCTGTCTCAATAAGACAAAGAACCTACTTTCCCAATCTGACCAGTAGCTACACAAATCTGGCTTCACTTTTTGGAAAATGTTCTAAAACACTTGAGTATTTTAGGAAGATAAAAACTAAAAACCTTTAGGATGGGGTTGGCTAAGCTATCTCGAAGAGCTTTCCAGGATGGGGCAAAGTCCTCCCAGCAGCTCCTCTCCCATCTGCCCCTTGACCACCCAGCTCAGCAAGTATCGAGAGGTTTCAAAGGTTAAGATCTCAACCCCTTCTCTTTCTGTTGGTTCAAGATATAGCAGATTGAAGGCCTCAGCAAAAAAAGAGCTGGTGGGGGGGAGTAAATGATTTTCAACAAAAAGAATAGACAAGGTTTGGAATATATAGCACAGACCTCCATGGGAGAGAGTGAGGACCGAGTCAGGCGAAAATGAAGAAGTGGTGTGAACTGTCTCTGGCCTTTCTTGACAACCTTCGAAAGCACGAAGGGAAAACTTGATGGATTCATTATTAAACAATCCAATCTGAAGACTTCTGCCCAGAGTTCAACATCAAAGGATAAAATCTTTCTGCTCCCCAGACACGAGTTCTTTCAGTAATGTCTGGTGGTTCTAGTTAGGATGCGGTTGCAGACAAGCAACCTCCCGTCTGAAGTGAGTGCGGATGAACAGCGGTGTGGACGCTCCAGTTCCCCGGCCTGATAAAGTTGGGAGAGAAAGAAATTATAAGTGCAAAGAGACGTTGGGGGTACACAGTGTGTCACCAAAGGAGAAAGGGAGGTTTGTTAAAGACTAGTATTTCCATTTCTTTAGTATTTGGAATCTGTGAGTGGCTTGCAGCTATTTATTGATGGGAAAATATGAAAGCTAGGAAAGGAACCTCCTTTCCTCAAAGGGACTTTAATTTATATTATATGTCTCTAGGCTGCTGCGCTGACATTTTTGTGGTATAAAAACTGTATATGTCGGGATCTCAAGCAACTAATATTGAACACAAGAAAGGAATAAAAGTCTTGGTGTAATATGTTGAGAAAAAATTGTGAAAAATTAATTGAAATCCCTTACATTTTGATCACTTAAGCTGCAACTTTGATCCACATTTATCTCTGTACTTTTTCCTTTACTCGTTGCATTTAAATAGTGCTTTGCAACTTTTCTGAATAATGTCTCTTTTTTCTTCCCCATTAAAAATTTAGATAGACAAAGCCAACTTGTTACTGTTTAATTTTGAGTCAGGGTCTCTTTACGATCACTAGGTAAATGAGGCTGGCCTTGAACCCATAGTGATCTACACCTCTGCCTCCTGAGTGCTGGGATTGAAGGAACTAACCCCTCCCCAAAACTTGTATTTTAAAAGTTTTAAAATATTAGGCCAAGGCTCAAAGAAGTGTCTTATTAGAGGTCAAAAAGCAAGCATGGGATCTGCTCGTGGGCCAGCAGGTTGTCACTGGCTTACACTGAACTCTCTCAGGACCCTGTAGCGAACTGTCAGCCTTTCGGTTTTCTTCGCTTGGAAAGAAACAAGACTTATGCTTTTCTCGTGTTTGGTGGTGGTGGCTTGAGATAGGGTCTCATTATGTAGCCCAGGCCTAGGGATCTTCTGATCTTAGGGTCCTTGTGTTTTTGATTTAATGTCATAACTGAATTTTTTTTTTAAAGAGACCTGCTTTAATTTCAGCACTTCCAAATCTGTTCCGAGAGACTCATGAGCCTTAATCTAGCCCCTGACATGGACCGCTGTCTTTGTCCACACACCGCTTTTTGAATATTTATCAAATGCTTACTTTAGTACAGTCCTACTTCCAATATCTGAGAGACCATTCTCATCGTTTTCTTGCTGAAAATAAGAAGAAATTGACCCCTTTAACAAGGAAGAATGTGGTTAGGAGGGGTCGTTTTCTCACAAACACTCATGACCATAGAGAGAGAAAGGCTGTGTGTGGCTGACACCTACAGCCTGAAGAAGGAGGTGGCCTGAGGACGCTGTTGCAATGGCTAAACTCTCACACCCGACTGTCCCTTTGGGGAACAACTGGTAAGAAGTATTAGTACCAAAGCACAGAGCATAGAAGTTAGCCGGTCTGTTTCTGCTTTGCTTCCGGAACTAATGGCACTTTGTTCTTGCTCTTTGTCACGGAGCTGTGGAGTCCGAGGTCACTAATGAGGGACCCATGCCGTGACTCTTCTCAGAGCTGTCCAAAGAAGCTGTCCTTCTTCAAAGGAAAGCCGCAGGCCGGGCCTGAGAGCTCATGCCTGTAATCCCAGCACACAAGAGGCTGAAACAGAAAAACTGCTGTGGGCTCAGGGCAGTCTGGGCGACAGTGTGAAACTTTCTCGAATACATAAGCAATTATGCAAATTAGTGGTGGAATGCGGGTGCCGCGGCACCAGAAAAGCTAAATCGGGGATCTAGAGGCAGCCTAGGCTGCGTAATGTCTAGTCAAACCTAGGCTACACATCTCCAAAATCAAACAAGCCCAAAACCCCATGGGACTGGAGAGAGAGTTCAACAGTTAGCAGCACTTAGTGTCCTTGTCAGGCGCACAGGCTCAATTCCCAGCCCTCACGTGGCAGCTCACGACCATCTGTAACTCCATTTCCCGAGGATACAATGCCCCCTTCTGGCCCGCATGGGCACTGCATGCATGTGGTGAGCAGACAGACATTCAGGCAAACTATCCACACATATAAAATTAAAAGACACAAATCTTTTAAAATATTTATTTCTGAATAAATAAACTGAGTCAATGAGATGGCTCAGCCAGTAAAGGGACTTTCCAACAAGCTGAAAAACCCGAGTTTGATCCTGGAACCCACATGGTGGAATAAGAGAACCAACTCTTGCGTGTTGTCCTGTGACCGCCACTCTATCGCGTACATGTGCATCACCCCTAACACACACACACACACACACACACACACACACACACACACACACACAGAGAGAGAGAGAGAGAGAGAGAGAGAGAGAGAGAGAGAGAGAGAGAGAGAGAGAGAGAGAGAGAGAGAGAGAGAGAGAGAGAGAGAGAGAGAGAGAGAGAGAATAAGTAAGGTAAAAAATTAAAACTCGTAAAGAAATGAATTAATTAAAAAATAAGATTTAAGCCAGGCCGTGTTGGGGCACCTGGGAGGCAAAAGTAGGGGGGGTGTTTCTAAATTTGAGGCCTCCAGGACCGAGGGAAGTCAGGGCAGGGACTGGAGCAGAAGCCGTAGAGGAACATTGCCTACTATCTTGTTCCCCATAGCTTGCTCAGTCTGCTTTCTTATACAATTCAGGACCACACTGCTGAGGGGTTGTACCTTCCACATCAATCATTTAAACAAGAAAATGCCCCCCCCCAGGCTTGTCTATGGGCCGATCTCATCGATGGATTTTCTCAACGGAGGGTCCCTCTTCCCAGATGACCTTAGCTTGTGCCAGGTTGACAAAAACCAAGCTACACACTAGAGATCTCTGATGATCTCATCCAGAGACACTCTTCGGAGCCTGCCACCCAACCAACACATCAGAACGTCCATGCCCCTCTCTCTCCTACCATCTTTAGTTGATCTTAAAATCAAAGTCAGCCTTGGTCTCTTTTTTTCTATCCTGAATTTCATTTTTTAGGCAGTCGTCCTAGGTGTGATTTTAGATCTTGTCTTTCTGAAGCAGGTCACTTTGTGCCGTCCTGTCCAGCTGCCTGCTGTCCCCATCCCACCATGAGCCACCCAGCAGTTTTAGAAGGAAAAATGTTGCCAGGCACGGTGGTACATGCCTTTAGTCCCAGCCCTTGGGAGGCAAAGTCAGGTGAATCTACATGAGTTTGAGGCCAGCCTGGCCAACATTGTGAGTTTCAGGACAGTCAGAGATATACAGAGAAACCCTGTCTCAAAAAAAAAAAAAAAAAAAAAAAAAGAAGAAAGAAAGAAAAAAGAATTTAAAGTTTCCACAATAAAGAAATGGTAAAAGCCTGAATCTTAGCCCTTGAGAATCAGAGGCAGGAAGATCAGTTTCAAGGTTAACCTCAGCAACATATGCATTTGAGGCTAGC